TATATATATATATATATATATATATATATATATATTATATATATTATAAGACAGTAGCAGCGTTGGAGTCTCGACGGTGTTCATTAGGCCGAATCGCCTGATCAACCCTTCGAACGAAGACGGCGTTCTTCGTGATGATGATTATATACAGATGAAAAAGATGAAGGTCAAACGTTGTCAATATTGTGCTTACACTAATTTCTCCCTTACGCGGAAGCGGCCAAGTAGGCCGCTGTTTATGATGGTGGTGTACGGCCCACGAATTGTTTTAAGTGCGACACGTGAACAACCTCCGTACGACGAAAACGGCCGTCGGAAGGCATGACAACAGGGGTTACTCGATAGTTAACAGGAGACGTCTGCTCGACTATAGCGTAGGGGCCGATGAAACGTGAGTGAAACAGATCACACAGGCCGGGAACCCGCGTTGGGGTACACAACAGTACTTCGTCTCCAGTATTGAAGTGATTTACGCGGTGGATGCCATCGTAGCGAGTCTTCCGCTCTTGTTGGCTTGCTGTGTATTGAGGTGGGCGCGTCGGCGACAATCGGCCAGGCGAGAGATTAAGTGCTTCCTCGATGACGATGACGAGTTCACAGGGACGTCAAAAAGGAGATGTCGAGCGGAGATGTTGGTTGACGGCCATAGACGAGAAAGAATGGGGAATAGCCAGTGGTTCGCTGCGTAGCGTCATTGTACGCAAAAGTCACGAATGGCAGGATGGTTTACCAGTTGGTGTGGTAGGCGTTGACATACACAGATATCATGTCGGTCAAAGTTCGATGGAAGCGCTTTGTGAGGCCGTTAGTTTGGGGATGGTAGCTGGATGTCGTCTTATGAATCGTAATACATGCGTGGAGGGCTTGTTCGAGTAGTTTCTAGAGAAACGCCTTGCCGCGATCGCTCAATAAGATGCGTGGTGCACCATGTCTTAGAAAGATTGCCTCCAGAAAAAATGTGGCAATGTCCTTTGCTGATCCTGAAGGAACTGCAGCTGTTTCGGCGTATCTTGTTAAGCGGTCAACTGCTGTGACAATCCTGCGCTTGCCGCTAGCTGATATTGGTAGCGGTCCGTAGAGGTCAATGCCAATGACATCGAACGGAGCGTCGGGACACGGAAGAGGTTGTAGAAGACCGGCCGGGGAGGAAGTGGGTCACTTGCGGCGTTGGCATAGTGAGCATGACGCAACATATCGCGCTACACATTTCAAAAGGCCTGGCCAGGCAAAATGACTGCGGATGCGTTCATAGGCTTTTTGAAAACCGAGATGACCAGCCTTGGGGTCATCGTGAAACGCTCCAAAATCTGCGCCCTTAGAGACGAGGAGCAACAGGAACCCAGCGCTGTCCTTTGGGGTGGAATACAAAGCAGTAAAGGACTGACTTTTCAGTCTTGAAGTTCCGCAGCTGTCGATGGGCGCGGGCGTTGGGAGGAGCAAGAGGAGCCTTGAAGGCGCTCCATTATAGAGTGACAGTAAGTGTCGCTGCGTTGGTGGGATGCAAACGTCTCGTTGTCGAAGGTAGAAAGAAAATCGACAGCGGCGACTGAATGAACTGACGGAGACACTTTGATGGGTTCACTCTCAGTTGGCGACAGGCCAGGAGTGCCTGATGAGGATTGTAAAGCACAGCGGCTAAGGGCATTGGCATCGTTGTGTTTCTTGCCGGATTTGTAGATAACGTCAAACTCGTATTCTTAGAGACGAAGTATCCAGCGACCGAGACGTCCAGACAAATTCTTCAACGTCGACAACCAGCACAAAGCGTGGTGGTCAGTGACGACGGTAAAGTGGCGGCCGTGAAGATATGGTCGAAACTTCTGGATGGCCCAGACAACGGCGAGGCACTCCTGCTCGGTGATGGTGTAGTTTTTCTCTGCTGCTGTGAGAGTGCGACAAGCGTATGCGATCACATGTTCGTCATAACGCTCTGTTCGTTGCAAAAGTACAGCGCTGAGTCCATGTCGCAGGCATCAGTATGGAGGAGAGTGGGTGTGGCGTTATCCAAATGACACAGCACTGGCTCAGACGTGAGGGCACGTTCCAAGGTGTCAAAAGCCATTTGGCATTCGTCCGACCATACATAAGACGCTCCCGAAGAAAGGAGTTGGTGAAGCGGCGCAGCAATGGTGGTGAAGTCTCGTTTAAAGCGCCGGAAGTACGACGCAAGGCCAAGAAAGCTTCGGAGCTCTTTGACGCGTTGAGGCACCGGGAAGTGAAGAACGGTGGTAATCTTGTCGGGATCAGGCCGGATTCCATCTTTGCTGACGAGATGTCCGAGTACTTTAATACTTTTGCTAGCAAAGTGGTACTTCTCGGTGTTGAGCTGAAAGCCAGCAGCTGCGAGACACGTCAGAACATCATATAGGCGCTGCAAGTGCTGCTCGAATGTTGAAGAAAATATGACGATGTCGTCAAGGTAACAAAAGCATGTTTTCCACCTAAGGCTCCGCAATACAGTGTCTATCAGTCGTTCAAACATTGCTGGCGCATTGCAGAGGCCGAAAGGCATGACGTTAAATTCGTAAACTTTGTCAGGTGTGGCGAAGGCAGTTTTTTGCTTGTCATCCTCGTCAACTGGAATTTGACAATAACCGGAGCGCAGGTCAAGGCTCGAAAAATATTTTGCTCCTTGTAAGGAATCTGAGGCATCATCAATGCGAGGCAAGGGATATACGTCTTTTCTGTTTACTTTGTTTAATGCGTGGTAGTCAACGCAGAATCGCACCGAACCGTCTTTGTTTCGTACGAGAACGACAGGTGACGACCAAGGGTCGAGGAGGAGCGAATGATGTTTTCCTTGAGCATATCAGCAACGTAGCAGCGTTGGAGTCTCGACGGCGTTTATTAGGCCGAATCGCCTGATCAACCCTTCGAACGAAGACGACGTTCTTCGTGATGATGATTATATACAGATGAAGAAGATGAAGGTGGAACGTTGTCAATATTGTGCTTACAATATATATATATATAAATTCACCACCATCGTTGCGGCCCTGCCGAGCCAGTACGATGGAGCAAATGCTATGATTCTTCGTACGCGGAACGTTAGGGAGCATTAGAGTCATTGTGCGCACTTTCCCAAGGGCGGGTTTGTCACGTGGTCTTTTTTGTAATTCGCGGAAACGAGTTATTAGCAGAAAAACACTAATACCTAACAAATACAAAGTTCAAAACTGTCTAAGCGGCTGTTTGAAACAACAATCTACAACTTTCTCATTGAAATTTTTTATCCAGCTTCGTTTTTTGAAAAGGTAACTATTTAAACAGATCTAATATACAATATTTGAGAACACAAAAAATCGTCTGACTAACTTCGGGCAACGGTGAGCAACAAGCATTTGATCGCGTCGTAATTGCGTGTGCCAGAATAGTTTTAAACTCTGGTTCAAGTTACCTGTGACACCCTGTGTATATATATATATACATACACACACACACAGACACACAAACACACACACACACACACACACATATATATATATAAGCATTGGCATATATATATTTATGTATATATATATATATATAAATATATATATATATATATATATATATATATGACGTATGAGGCGATGATTGGTAGAAGCCGAAAAGGAAGAAGTCAGAAAGAATGAGCCAGGCCACGTCTCCCACACGTAGCGTCACACGCTACGTGTGTGATATATATGTATATATACGTGTATATATATATGTATATATATCACAAACTCTCTGGAGTTTGTGACTCACTTTTCTTTTTTCCCTCATAATGGCATTCACCGAGTTGCACAACTGCAGGATCCCTTCATTGTAGGTTCTGCAATTCTCTCCTATGACTTTAGCCGTTTGCGACATTGCCTGCTAGCCAACGTGCTAGCAAATACTTGACAAAGACTATAACGAAACTAGCTGGTCTCGCAAATGGTGCCATGAGATCTGCTTGACTGAGCTACACCTTGGCATCTTTCAAATAAACGCGTTCGGTCATCACAATTGTGGTTTAAGTTACTGGGTAAGCTAGCTGTTACAAAGCGACACCCTAGAGGCACCGTCCTAGGGTAGCAATGGCGGCACAGCAACAATAAAAGCTTTGCCATAGCCGTAAATTCAATATATATATATATATATATATATATATATATATATATATATATATATATATATATAATAAGGGAGAGAAGTGTATACCTAAGGGCTCGTATTTCCGTGTTTTAACACAATATTAATGAGATATAACAGACACTAATGCCAAGGAATGTACAGGGGAAGTTATTAGAACCAATAGAATGTAAATAAGAAGAAAGAAGAAAGAAAAGTGGATGAAAAAATTACCAGCTGTGAGCAGGAAACGAACCCACGACCTCCGAATAACGCGTTCGATGCTCTGGTAAAACAGCTGGTAATTTTTTCATCCACTTTTCTTTCTACTTTCTTCTTATTTACATTTCATTGGTTCTAATAACTTCCCCTGTACATTCCTTGGCATTACTGTCTGTTATATCTCAATAATATATATATATATATATATATATATATATATATATATATTTATTATATATGGACCTTGCTTAGTAAACACGGTTAATTTTTCACATGTGTGAAGAGCTTGCTCCATGCCAAGAATGCTGTCTAGCGTTGAAAGGACATACGTTTTCAGCCCACGTGCTGTCTTAGTGTGTGCCTTGTTACAGCTTTACCATTTCCCTGATGGCTGAAGGTTACTGTTTTGAAAGTGCTTTTTAAATGTGTCTATCAACATCATTGCATTAAATTGTATAGCGCACTTTAGCAGAGTATGTAAAAACGTATGGTAAAGATAAGATCAACAAAAATCTTTACATTCATTTGCGGGCGCGTTTTTCGAACCACAGCTTTTCAAGCATTTTATGTGCCTTCACTGCCGTGGCCGTAAAATATTCAATCTCCTTTGTTACTTTATTGGGTTGCTATTCTTATAACTTGTTGCCCATACGAAGCTACGATACGAGATTTTGTTTGCAAAGAACACTACACACAAAACGTCTTTTGTGATGTCTCTCCTATGACAGCTGGCGTGGCTTGATGGTACAAACAGTTTTATTGAATCATGCGCCTGTTCAAGCTTGAGCACAGATGAGCCACGTCAGTCTCAAAGTTGCTCATCCATATAGACTCTTCAGATTGAACCATTCGTCAATAACTGGTGAGTAATTTGTTGTCATCGCTTTGCAGTCTTTTTTCCTTATATTGACTCTCTTAAAGTAGTTCTAGTCAGAAATGAGAAACTGAAAACATTGAAGCATTATCCTTAACGTATTCAGCGTATTTGACCTCTTCTTTATGCAGAGAGAAGATGCTCTATTTCGCCTCTCTACTTGTAATTGCATTAACGAACGGAGCATGGGCTACGACAAAGTCGGAGTCAGAACTTCTGGCAGAGAACGGCTGGAAAGAAATTTCACCAAAGGGAATTCCCTTGTTCGAACAACTGGCTGCCAAAGCTGCTTCCAACTTCACCAAACATATAGATTTCTACCAGGTGATGGAGGAGGTTTTACACGTTAGCAAAAAGGTAGGTTTTTATGGGCGGTATTGTCTAAACTAGAAATGAAAATTCCCATCGTGAAGAGAAACATGGTGAAGACTTCATGACTAGGGAATCCAGTTAGCCTTTTTCTTTACATTTTTATGCCAACAGGGAATGCTTTGTTTGTCTAATTGGTTAATTCAAAGTCATTAATTATTGCTGTGCCTTGTTTGTCGAGACATAAATGAATGTTTCAGGCATATGTAAAATGCGCGAGTTGCTGGTTATTAAAGTGATCTTACCCTCTCAAGGCACAGTGTCCCGGCACTAAAACTGCGCACCCGCAGGCTCTTGATGCCGGTGTTCGTGGTACCACTTTGAAGCACTGAGAATGCCGAGTCGATGCGATTAGATGCGACTTTATTGGTATTTTCGTGTTCCAGTGAATATTGGCAGTTATTGAGAGGTGACGATGGCTGGCACAAGGTCCGCGTTGTAAGTACTCAGCAGTAAGTGCTCTACGTATCGGCTAAAACATCAGCTTGAACTCGTAGACGGTGGTATTGATCAACAGCAAAACCTGAAGTGTTTAAAAGTAATTTGAAAATCATTTTCTTTTACGCAGCTGGAAATATTACGAAACTGCAGTCACGTAGTTTAGTTTTGTGGCCAGAAAAGATGCCAATTGAAAGGTTAGCAATCAGATAAATGCCGTTATTGTCACGGTGCCCGAGAAACAGTGCAACAGGCTGAACAGGTGAAAGCACGCCTTATCTGCAAGGGCTACTGAGGGTACAAGGAAGGTGAAGAAACAGAATGGCGCTACACGGAGATGGCCTGCCACGGAGTGTGTGTCTATGCGATCTTTTTGACGTTTCTAGTCTACACGCCTCTCCACGCACGCACTTACTGGAGCGCGGCACTGCACACGCTTTGGGCAGGGTATTCGGCAACCACTCTTTGGCCAAATCTATCTTGCGTTTCAACAAACTATGTGAAGAATTCGACTGCAAACGGGCAAATTTCATTTGGCATTCCCAATATTACATCGAGCAGAATGCGATGTTGCATACCTTTGTTGATGATTTGCAGTTTTGTCATGGCGCAAAAAAAGAATGTACCCCGGAAAACGTAAAATACTCCATCTGGCCACCGTTTTCCTGTATAAACTTCTGATCTTGTACCATTGCTTACATGAAGTGCCATAATATTATCTATAAATATCAAGTAAAATAAAACACTCTCAACACAGCTGTTGAAGATGGAGAGCGCAGGAACGCCCACCAACAAAAATTTTGAGGTAAAGTTTGCTGTTGGTCAAGCTTCGATGGTGACGACATGTTGCGGTGTATGGGGTTATCTCACAAGCCTTAAACGCACACAAGGACCTACATTTCCGTCGACGACGCCAGCGCTGACACTGTGAAACCCGATAACAAAGAGTGGTTTCTGTCCATTGTCGTGGGTCATTCGTGAATCACGTACAACTAGTCTAATCAAGCAGACACGCAGTACAGATCGTGTTTGTGTAATTGAATGTACGAACAGCCCAACAAACAGGAACAGAGGAAGGTACCCTATTGCAAAAACCCACGCCACTGGGCACCAGCGTTGAGTGCCGTGCCAGATTATGGGCCCAGTATCGCGCTGGTACCAGCACCTCCCAGCACTAGAACTGGGACGCTGGAGCAACAGTGTCCCAGTACCAGTGCCGAGAGGTGCTAGGTACTCTACGCTTAATCTCATCACAGGGATAAAATGGAGGGGGGGGGGATGCCCATGCATTCACCTGCACCCACACGTGTGGCAGTGCGAAGAGATTCGCGTACGTGCTGGTCTTGAAGGTTCCGGAGTGTTCTTGTAGCCGTACATAAGATACAATGCCCTGTTTGCCCAATATAAACCCTTCCGCATGTTGAAGAAATTCTGTACACCACCCCTAGTACACATAGAGAAGCGTCCCTTTGTTTTACATCGCATTTATTTTGGCTAGAGCTCTTTTTATCATGCTTTTTGTTCACCATAGGGCACAATTTTTCTAATTTGGGTATTGCTGAGAATAAAAGCTGTATATCGTAATGCCACGTTCCGATTCCTAAGTTTTCTTATCGTCCCAATACACTACACGATTCTCAGCTCAAACCGTGCCTGCAGTTTTCGAGAAGCTTCTGGACTGTAGTAGATCATTTCGATAAGATCACGCCCACTCTGCGAACGGTACAGATTATTCTGGAACCTACGCCACCGCCAGCGATAACACTAGAACATTCGACGGCAAGAGTATAAATGCCGACGCGCTTCGTCGCTTGTGAGTAGTCGATCGACGGCAGACGCTGCGTTCGCCGCTATCAGTCCAAGACTGCTAATGTAATCAGACTCTCCGTTTACCGGACACAGGTTTTGATTTGATTGATTTGTGGAGTTTAACGTCCCAAAACTACCATATGATTATGAGAGATGCCGTATTGGAGGGCTCCGGAAATTTTGACCACCTGGGGTTCGTTAACGTGCACCGAAATCTGAGCACACGGGCCTACGACATTTCCGCCTCCATCGGAAATGCAGCCGCCGCAGCCGAGATTTGAACCCGCGACCTGCGGGTCAGCAGCCGAGTACCTTAGCCACTAGACCACCGCGGCGGGGCCCGGACACAGGTTCGCCCAAATAAACAGTTAAATTCGAACACAAAGTCCCTGTCTTCGGCCACGTCACGACCCCGTGACATCTGGTGGAGGTGCTGCTTCTTTGATGTTTCGGGCGCCCCCTTCAAGCCGCGACCACAGCCCAAGCAGCAAAGAAAACACGGACGCTAACCCTGAACAGCGAACAAGCCGCAGGCAGAGGGGACTACAACCAGAGTACGGGCCCCTTTCTGAAGCAGCCAGGCGGACCCGGATCCCGACATCAACTACTGCAACAATGACCACACCCGTGCAGCCTGCACTACTCCTGCCCCGGCAACCCAAAGAACCGCCAACTTTCCGCGGTTCACCACTGGAAGACCCGGAAAGCTGGATCGAAAGGTTCGACCGCGTCGCCGCCTTCAATGACTGGACAAACGATGACAAGCTCCGGCATGTGTATTTCGCCTTAGAAGAGGCTGCTCGGACCTGGTTCGAGAGTCAAGAGCGAAGTCTTACAACGTGGGACGTCTTTCGCGCCAAGGTCCTCACCACTTTCGCAAGTGTGGTGCGCAAGGAGAAGGCCGCAGCTCTTCTCGAAACCCGCATGCAGATGCCAAACGAAAACGTGGCGCTATTCACGGAAGTTATGATGAAACATTTCCGCCACGCTGACTCTGACATGTCCGAGGAGAATAAGGTCCGTCTGCTCATGCGAGGAGTAAAGCAGGAACTCTTCGCCAGGCTAATCGGAAACCCGCCAAAGACGGTCGCTGAATTCATTTCAGAAACATCTACGATAGAGAAGACGCTTGAGATGCGCACGCGGCAATATAACCGTAGCTTCTCGCCTACAAGCTACGCCGGCATTCAAGCGCTAGGAACCACTGACTTGCGTGAGACGATCCGAGCGATCGTGCAAGAAGAGCTGCGAAAATTATTTCCTTCAGCGCAGCTTGACGTGGAATCCATCGCGGACATCGTACGCCAAGAAATCCAGCAATCGCTGGGAGTTCCTCAGCCTCAAGAGCCTCAGCTGCAAGTCATGAGCTATGCTGCTGCAGCCCGCCACCAAGCCCCTCCTCCATGCGCACGCCAAAACGCTGCCCCATCACACATCCGTCACCAGACGCCACCGCCACCACCACCCCCACCGACGTCCTACCGTTCGCCAGCGGCGCAGCGTAGTGCGCCGAGGAAGACTGACGTCTGGCGCACCCTCTGAACACCACCCTCTCTGCTACCACTGCGGCAAGGCTGGACACACATACCGCCAGTTGCCAGCACCGACAGATTGGACTGCGTGGCTTCGTCGTCAATGCACCGTGTCCACAGCCAGGAGAGCGGCCACGTGACATCGCCGACTACCTGACAGGAACTCAGTGGACACCACGAAGCCCTTCCCGTTCGCCGTCGCCCAGTCGCCGCACGTCACCGCACCACCAGCAGCACTCTGGCCCAACGCGGGGCCGGTCTCTTAGCCCATATCCGGGAAACTAAGGGCAGCAACCGATGGAGGTGCGGTTGCTGTGCGACGAACTACCGAAGATCCTCCGACGACGACGACGCCATGACGGAGCTTTCCGAACACAACGCCAACCAGGCAAAGCACTGACGGCGAAACCTCACCTACCGAAGGTGACCTGATGACGACACATGGAAGCAGCGGAACAAGCGGAAGCAGCCATGACCCGACGCCACGCCCTAACTGTAATGCGAAACGGTGAACTAGCGACGTCGACGTTCTTATCGACGGCCACAGTGTGATCACTCTCGTCGATACTGGAGCTGACTACTCCGTCATCAGTGGGTCGTTCGCCGCGAAGTCAAAGAAAGTTAGGACAGCTTGGGAAGGCCTTAAAATCCGCACAGCCCGAGGTCATCTCGTAACGCCAGCAGGAATCTGCATAGCGAGAGTCACCATTAACGGCCGTATTTTTCCTACAGACTTCGTAGTCCTACAGCATTGCTCGAGAGATGTCATTCTTGGCATGAACTTCTTGTGCCGCCATGGGGCTGTCATCAACCTAAAAACAGGGTTCATAACGTTATCCACAGAAGAAGCTCTACCACCGCGCACGCCTTCAGGAAACCATGTCCTTGAACGTGCTGGAAGAAGTCACTATTTCGCCTCGCTCAAGCGTCATTATTTCAGTCGACTTGGAAGGCGTCGTTGAAGGCAGTCAGCATGTGTTGGTCACCCCAAATATTTGCGTTGCAAGAGGAATTGCAGAGCTGCGGGGAGGCAAAGCAACGGCTGTGCTCACAAATTTCAGCAATGAGTATAAACATGTGAACAAAGGAACAACGGTCGCATACATGGAAGAAATTGTCGAAGCCACTAGTGCTTTCGCCCTCACTGATTCTGCAGAACCTGCTCAGAGGAACCAAACCCCTTCCCATAGCTTTCGATGTCAATCCCAG